TAGCATCAGGGTCAGTTAGTGGCCCTCCCAGCCAGGGTTAGCTAGCGTTAGATTGCCCCCACACTATCACACTCACGCTATAGGTTGCTGATCACCGCCATTACTAATATAGTGTTTGTACAAATCAATATATTGTTCACAAACAGAACTATACTAGTGCCTCCTTTGTATAGTGTCCCCAAAAATGCAGTGTTAGCAGGATCAGCCCTGTTCGCTGCCAGCACTAGCGTTTAGCCCAGGGGTGGGCAAACTTTTTGACTTGAGGGCCGCAATGGGTTCATATATTGGACCCGGGGGCCGGACCAAGAGTAGATGAATGATGTGTATGTGTCATCAATAGTAAGTATAGTAATATTCCCCCATAGTAAGCATAGTAATTAATCCCCCATATAGTAATTCATCCCCCATAGTAATTCATCCCCCATAGTAATTCATCCCCCATATAGTAATTCATCCCCATAGTAATTCATCCCCCATAGTAATTCATCCCCCATATAGTAATTCGTCCCCCATATAGTAATTCATCCCCCATAGTAATTCATCCCCCATAGTAATTCATCCCCCATATAGTAATTCATCCCCCATAGTAATTCATCCCCCATAGTAATTCATCCCCCATAGTAATTAATCCCCCATAGTAATTAATCCCCCATATAGTAATTCATCCCCCATTTAGTAATTCATCCCCCAAAGTAATTCATCCCCCATATAGTAATTCATCCCCCATAGTAATTCATCCCCCATATAGTAATTCATCCCCCATAGTAATTCATCCCCCATAGTAATTCATCCCCCATATAGTAATTCATCCCCCATATAGTAATTAATCCCCCATATAGTAATTCATCCCCCATATAGTAATTCATCCCCCATAGTAATTCATCCCCCATATAGTAATTCATCCCCCCTATAGTAATTCATCCCCCATATTAATTCATCCCCCATATTAAGTCCCCCCTGTGTCAATTCACTTACCTTTGCTCCACACGTTCCTCTCGCCGTGTTCCCGCGCCGTTCCGGTGTAGCATGAAAATCTGTCTCCTATGAGGATCTGTCCCCCTCGACGTATCTGCGCATGTGCCAGTTTCAGGCATTAGCAGCCGATCGGCGATCTCCGGCACATGCGCAGATACGTTGAGGGGGACAGATCCTCATAGGAGACAGATTTTCATGCTACACCGGTCTTCAGGGCGGACTGTGAGAGGAGCCTAGCGGAAGCCTAGCTCCGCTGGCCGGATTAAAAGGTCCGCCGGGCCGTATACAGCCCGCGGGCCGTAGTTTGCCCATTGCTGGTTTAGCCCCTACGCTGTTTTTCACAAAAGATTTGTATCAATTGATTGTGAGCCAAAGCAATTTATACGCACAAAAATACGTCGCTGCCCACCCAAATTCAGCTCTTGCCAGACAATTCGCATAGAAACCTGTCATAGTTTCTGAATTTAAAACATTTTTGGGCCTAAACCTCAACATAAGCATCAGAAAACAGAATGAATTGCAGTCATATTGGTCCACAGACCCAATTCATCATATGCCCATGTTCTCTGCTGTTACGGGCATCATCCTAGTATCATTTTTTTCAGCTGGCAGTTGGCTATAATTGAAAAACAATACTAGCTGCTAATTAGCCACTGGATCACTTTTACAAGCAGCAGGTAGGGACTCCCCCACCTCTTCCGCCAACTTCCAAAGTTTTCTTGGGCTCTCCCGTCCCATTGTAAAGCCCAAACATGCAGCCGACAGCTCCACTGGCTGACAATAGAGCTGATCAGAGACTGGAATGCCTCCAATCATCTCTATGGTCTAAGAGACAGGAAGTTATGAGCATTCCATCATTTCTATTTCGCCATATATTAACAGCACCATTTTAAAATTGGAAAAGCATCTGATCACACTGATCTTGGTGAGATCAGATGCTTTAATGGCAGAGGAGAGATCTAGAACAGATTTCTCAGAAAAGAGTCCCTCTCACTGCCTATTGCTATCACAGGGGATATTTTCATTTTAAAGCATGTCAAGTTTGGTATCCATTTACTTGGCACAACATCATCTTTTATAGTTTATCAAACAGTTGGGCAATATATTGTGTTTTTGTGCATTGAAATTCTAAAAAGTGTATTTTTTCCCCAAAATTTGTGTTTTAAAAATCACTTCACAAATACTGTGTGGCATAAAAAATTTCAACACCCACCGGTTTATTTTCTATTTAAAAAAATATATGTTTGGGGGTTTAAAGTAATTTTTTAGCAAAAAAAATGTTTTTTCAAGTAAACAAAAAGTGTCAGAAAAGGCTTGGTCTTCAAGTGATTAGAAAGGTGGGTGATGTGTGCATTAGCTTCTAATGTTGGCCCTGAAATGGCAGGATAGTAGAAGCACCCCCTCCCTCCAAATGACCCCTTTTTACAAAGTAGACAATACAAGGTATTTGCTAAGAGGCATGGTGAGTATTTTGCACATCTCATTTGTTTTTTTATTATTTTTCAAAACCCTGTGACAAAAAAGATATTTGCAAAATACTCACCATGCCCCTTATCAAATTCCTTGGGGTGTCTACTTTCCAAAAAGGGGTCATTTGGGTGGTGTTTGTACTATCCTGGCATTTCAGGGCCTCCAAAACTGTGATAGGTAGTGAAGAAGTGATATAAGGAAATATGCCCTTTAAAGCTTGGAGGGTGGTCATTGGATTTTGGGGGCATGTATGTAGCTAGGTTGCCAAAAAAATCTCTCACATGGGGTATCCCCATACGCGGGAGAAGTATAATGTGTTTTGGGGTGCTATTCCACATATAGCCATGGCCTGCGTGAGCTATATGTCATTTAATTGACAACTTTGTTTTAAAAAAAAGTACCACTGAAAGAAAGCTCCATTTGTGGGAAAAAAGGACATAAATCTCATTTGGGTGCAGAGTTGCATGACTGCACAATTGACAGTTAAAGTAACGCAGCGCCGTATCGCAAAAAAATGGCTTGGTCAGGAAGGGGGGTAAATCCTCTGGAGGGCATTAGAGTTCCTAATTTTACTGTTCTGTAGGTGAGGCTCCATTGTTGGCTCCAATGAATGCATAGACAGCAATTTTATCAACAACTGGTTATTGAAGAGTGAGAAGTGTGCTAGATTCTAAACTTTAGGCCCTGATAATCAATATGTAGCACTATTTATTGTTTATGCTTTTTTGGTTCATGGCAGTTGGAGATATAGTGCGGGGCATCTGTGTGAAGTGTAAGCGACCACTTATAATTTCACTTTTACAACTAGGAGCAACACTAGGTGCTCTTAAAGGGGCAGCTACCGAAAAAACAAAATTACAATGGGGCAGCTACAAAAATATTTCAATGCACCTATATTGTGCAGGTGTACATAAGGTTTCACTATATTTGTATTTCACTTTTGGTAATATGTGAATGGTATTATGGTTCTGCACAGGCAGCAATTTAGCTTGGAGGAAAGGCACCATATCTCTTTTATTTCTTTCTTTTAATTTGGTTCATGGTATTTGGAGAGTATAAGCGTCCACTTATTGTTTATCAGTATTTTGGCACTACTCAATTAAATCACAGTTTTTTTTAAAGTTCTGAACTGTTCCTCCATGTAATGCTGTTTCACACATCCTGCAGTTTTTCTGCAGTTTTCTCTAATATGTATTGATGGGCCAAACACCCCCCTTTTTGGCTTGCAATTGAACATTCGAACCTAATAAAAGTTTGACCATGAACTTCAAACCCAGGGAACAATTCAGTAAGTGGTATCTTTACCGCATCCGAGTATGCTGTAAGAAACTGCACAGCATTTAAAAAAGAAAAGTTGCCATTCACTAAAATACCACATGAGTTGTGATGTCATCGACTGGGGCATGCTGGGTCGATGATGTCGCAAGGGGGCAGGGTCACCCGGTTGACATCACCGGATGGCTCCATCCCTCAGATATTTAAGAACTGTCAGGCTGGCGGAGCTGTCAGACGGCAGGAGCCAGCATCAAGAGCAGAGCCTTTTTTTTTTTTTGCTTTTCCCAGGTCAACGTTGGTGGCAGGCATTGTGATTCACAAAGGATCTACCTCAGGAGGACATTTTTTTTATTTTTGTTGTTTTAATAAAGGATTTGTTAAAGACTGTCTACTCTAATTTTTTACAGTACAAATCTTTTTTTTGTGAATGAGTAGCGGTACCATATACCCCATACTCATTCACATAGGGGGGAGGGCAGGATCTGGGGGTCACCTTGTTAAAGGGGGCTTCCAGATTCCAATAAGCCCCCCGCACACAGACCCCAATAACCACAGGCCAGGATTGTGGGGAAGAGTCCCTTGTCTTCATCATCATGGGGACAAGGTGCTTTGGAGGGAGCCCCCCTACCCCAAAGTGCCTCCCCATGTTAAGGGCACGTGGCCTGATATGGTTGAGGAGGGGGAGCACTAGCTCGTTCCTCCCCCTTTCCTGATTTTCTGAGGATAGGAGTCTGGAATGGATTTTGGGGGGGACCCTATGCCATTTTTTTTTTATGTTGGCATGGGGGTTTCCCTCAAAATCAATACGAGACCTGAAAGGCTTGGTATGGATGGGAGGGACCCCATGCCTTTTTTTTTTGCTAAATTTTTAATTGCCGGCAGTTCTTTTTGCATTCAGCTGATGTTTTCACTACTAAAATACTGAATGACTTAATAAAATTACTCATGCAGTATTTTAGTAGCATTTTTTAGTGAATGCGGTATCTTATGCATAATTTCAAAAAGTACCATTTTTAAAGGGGCAGTCATTTTTCATGGCTTAAAGTAAAACAATAAATTCCTTTAAATATCATGCCTGGGGGTTCCCTTAAACTGCCTGCAAAGTTGCACATCTGTACAATGTATAGAACCTGCTGCAGCAGGGCTGACATTTTTTAAAATAATGATATTTAGAAAAAAAAAAAAGCGTAGGTCTGGGATGAAGGTTAAGGGGGACCCCACAGCAAAAAAATGCTTTTAGAAACTGCATGGGGTTCCCCTTTAGGCTTGGTAGGACTTTTAAGGTTTACCCAGGGGCTGACTGACCATTTGGAAACTCGGGCACTGCCCGAGGGCCCAGGGTCAGTAGGGGGCCCCATGAGATGCCCCTGGTACCTTTTTTCATAGGCTTTTTTGAGTTTGGGCAAGGGCACAGGGGCCCTATGATCCCCTATTGCCCGGGGGCCCCATGAGTTGTCAGTCCGCCCCTGGGTGAACCCCTACCCCAAAACATGGGGGAAAAAATGTATGGGCCCCCCCTAAATTCCTACCAGACCCTTGATCCGAGCATTGCCTCAACAATGGAGGGTGCTTTGGGGTAGGAAGGCCCCCCAAAGCACCTTGACCCTATATTGATGTGGACAAAGGTCTCTTCCCCACAACCCAGGGCTGTGGTTGTGGGGGTCTGTGGGGGGTGACTTATCTGAATCTGGAAGCCTCCTTTACCAAGGGGGCCTCAGATCCTGCCCCCCTCTTTTTGAATGAGTATGGTGTACATGGTACCTCTACCCATTCACCAAAAAAAAAGTGTACAATGTGAAAAAAACAACAAAGGTTTTTTACAATTCCTTAAAACAAAAGCCGAGAAAATGGTTCAAATGATGTAATTCATCATCAATCACAGCATCCAATGTTGTCATAACGACGCTGGCTTGCTTGCCGAAAAAAAAAAAAAAAAAAAAAATGCCTTCTGACCCGTCTGCACTCGCCAATTCCTTAAAACAAAAGCCGAGAAAATGGTTCAAATGATGTAATCCATCATCAATCACAGCATCCAATGTTGTCATAACGACGCTGGCTTGCCGAAAAAGAAAAAAAAACAGATGCCTTCTGACCCGTCTGCACCCGCCGAAACACTCGTCGCTATCTGACATCTGATATTTTCTGGTCAGATGTAAACAATTGGGCGAAGCTAGCGGTGATGTCACCGCTAGCTCTGCCCAATTCTGCTGTGATTGGCCAAAGCACTGCACCTGTCCTGTGAGCAGGTGCATTGCTTTAGCCAATCACAATGCGCTGTCAGAGTGCAGTGCATTGTGGGGCGCATGGTGAGCAGCCTGCCGAACGCCCTAACCGTTCGTTTGTTCGCAGAATACATGAACACCCAAATGTTTGAGTTTAACTTATATTGACTCGAACATCAAAGGACATCCCTACTAATATGTTGGAAATTTTTATCAGAATGAATCATTTTCTAATAAAGTATAGGGTTATCGTTCGAAAAAAAAATTAAAAATAAAACTGTGTTTTTCTACTATAAGAAATAAAAATTCCTTCAGCCAGAGCTGGCTTTAGGGGACAAGGAATTCAACATTTTGTGTATTGCAGCCTTGTAACAAGGAATGCATGGGGCTGGAAGTGGAAGCAAAGCTATTGTGTCATTGTTATCAATTCAAGCCAATAGGTCAAAATAAATTCCATCATTCTGCGGTAGAAAAAAACATTTTGTTTTCTCAAGGAAAAATTCCAAAACAATTGATGGCACAATCATATGAAAAATTGAATGACAGTTTAGATTGTCATTTGACAGATCATTCCATTTTCTACTCGTCTATGACCTGCATTAAGTCTCGTACACACGAGACAAATATTGGCTGGTTCAACAGAAACCGTCCGACATTCGGCCTGTGTGTACACCAGCCTATTCTGGAAAATCAGCACAACATCCAATCACTGCTGGCAGCCAATGGCTGTGAGTCTTGACCTGTGTGATCTGGGACAGTCCCTCTGTCAAAACCCAATAAGCTCAGCGGGGAGATCAGTGTACTAACATTGTATAGTTAGCACAATGAGCTCCTCCCGAGCTCTTCGTTTTTTTTTTTCATTCAGCCCACTGGGTTAAATGAAAAAAAAAAAATTGATAATGTGTACCAGGCATTAAAGTGCAGTGGCGAAGCAATTGGCAGTCAGTAGGGGGAAAAGTGGCCTGGTGTTGGCAGTCACTGAAAAGAAAACTGGTCAATGGGAGAAAAAGTGCCACAAGGTTATTGGTCAATTTGAGGAGAAATACCCCATGGTTGGCAGTCAATGGGAGGAAAAATGCTCCAATATTCTTTGTGAAAGAAAGAATGCCCTGGTATCAAAGTAAAATGGAGAAAAATCACTGCAACAAACAATATTGGCACAAATGCTCTGCAAGGTGCTGGAACAAGCATTCTACCACCCAATGTGGGACACTACTAAGGGACACAGGATTTTAAAATTCCAAAACATCCATGATGAATCTGGGACAGTTGGGGTAGGACTGTATTTAAGATTTTCTGTAAGTACAGTTATTCTTTAACAAGATGGGGCTCATGAATGACCAATATTGATATAGTTCTATCTGGTATAATGGACACAGGAACACACAATTCACATTACCTCTTGCTGCCTAAGGTACTGTACAGATGCTATTCAGGAAACATACAGTAACATTCTGAATCTCTCTCCCTCATGCTGATACTGTGCACTGATTACACCCTCCCCTCCCTTACTTGGCCACCCAACTCCATTTCCTACCCTGACACCACACCCTTCATATCCCCTTCATATGCAGCCTCTACCAGGACTGTAACGTACTTTATTAGTGAATACTGAATTACATCCATGTAATGATGAAGTTGGTGGAAATTGGAATGATGGAGTCCTGCTGCTTAATTACAGCAGAGAGCAACTGGACTTAAGTAGGGGAAAATTGGGATCCTGGAGTAAACAAGACAAGAGAATGAGGGACAGTCCTGGGAAATCTGGATCATGAGTTTCTAAGAGCATCTGACTCTTCTGGGTGTTTTGGATGCCTGCAGTCTCCCCCCCCCCAACCTCCTTCCCCCCCCCGCTTTGTCACTAATGTTTCCCTTTACAGCTCCAGATATCTCTCCTGCATCTTACTGCAGGCTCTGCCATCACCAATAATGGTACATTACTATTGCATCCCTTCAAAATTACAGGGACACACTAATAACTTAGCAGATAATGGGGGTTAAGCAATCAGCAGAGAGAGAAAGGCATTTGACACACATGGAAATGTTGGATGCTAAATATTCTAGCCACAGCTCTTGCTGTGCAGGTGAATGAAGACTGGATATAATAAAATTGGTAGGGTAAGCATTATAAATGTATTTCACAATGCTGCTGAGGACATGGAGGACCTGATCACACCCCGGGAGAGAAAAGATCATCACAGGTTGCTGGTGGAGAGTGTTGGAATCATTCTTCTACTTTAAATCTTGCCTTGACTAAACGAGCATTAAACCCCTGCCGTGTGAGTGAGGGGGTGGAAGGTAAGGCTAAAACTAGGGTGAGTTTATGGCTGACTGGAGTCCAGCTTTAAATCCATTTTATATATCTGTGGATGATGCATTTATATAACCTTTTGGTGAGTTGGGTTTTATTATGAGTTTTTAGGATATTTCTAAATAATCCCAGTACTTATTTCATATTAAATAACGGTTATTGCTTGTGATAATATAAATCGCATTGCATTGCTATCAGCATATTATAAACACAGACAAACAATAAATCCATGTAAAACACTTAGAATGTGCAATTTATATTGGAAATCTGCTTTTACATGCAGCAAAGCTATGTATTTATCTCTCTGTGTGAATTCATGTTTCATTAAGTTCTTGATCTCTCGGGTCTTATGGCTAATGAAGGAAAGTGCAGGCTACATAAGTCAAGAAGAAGGAAATTCAGCAAATGACTTTGATATTTTCTATTCTTGGTATATTTGTACTTTAAATTTCTGAATAGATTATTGGAAAGGTTTGCTAATGCTTTCTGCAAGTTTGTATACATAGATTTTTATTTATGTTGTCATGAAATAAAATAGGATATGTACATTCATTTCAAGTGTGCTATGACAAGTAAAACAACTGTTATGGCTGATGACTACGCTCTGCTAACTCACTTTATTTCTTTTATACAGATCCCCTTTTCCATTATTTTTTCTCCTTTTTTTTCCCCTTCCATTTATACCTCATATACTCCCTTGAAGTCTTGCCTACAAACATACCCAGGTCCTCTGATTCACATTCTCGATATTTGTCCTGGTCCCTCCTCCCTTGCTCTGCTTCTTCTTTTTCTCCTGTCCTATTCTCCTAGGCCCTCAAGTCTGTCTGCCTTTATCTTTATTCTTATTCAACTTTTTTGCTTATGTCCAAATGAATTGGATGTGGTATCCTATTTGCATCATTGAGATGTTTTCACAACTGTTGCAGTGTATTACGCCTGCTGTCTGCTTTTTGTATCCCCTTCATGCGCCACTGTTTCCGTGATGCTATATATATATATATATATATATATATATATATATATATATATATAAATATTATTTTTTTTTTGTAACCTTGTTATGTTGATCGGATACGGAGAGACACGTACCTTGATACCTATCTGACTGTACTTTGTCTTTACCTGACTATAATATGATTGTTCATATTGCTTTTTGAAAACAAATAAACCCATATTTTTCTATAAAGCAACTGTAATACTTTAACAATGCATTGGGACACAATATTTTTCCTTTTCATATTTTACCAATATTTTTACATTGTGATATACCTGAACTTGTTTGGATGTGCTATATCAATGCACAACCTCTTTAGCAGTATATTTGGGACTGCTGGAAAAAATAGAGTGAATGCACTAGCTTGGTCTGTCTTAGCTTGGTCTACTACTACTACATAGGCTACTATATACAGGAACCAAAGAAAAGCCTACAGCTTGTACTGTAATGCATGTTGATAGGACATGTCTTAATGACAATCATTAGTTTGTATGAGGTTCTAAAGCTCCATTCCTGCAGATACAACAGGTGTATGCTTTCCAATACACTGGTGCAGGTCCTTAGATGACTATGTCTGATTCCTGGCAATAATCGTGCAGGTAAAGGGGTGACTGAGACTGCAACACACAACTTAGACGATAACAAGAGAGAGAAAGAAAACTGTAAAAATATGAATGAGCTATTTTTCACCTGTACCATCATGAAACTATCATACATTTCTTTAAAAAATACTTGTGTCATGTATTATTTGTGTAATAACATAGGTTATTACATTAGGCTCAATTAACAGAGCTTTAAAGTGGAACTAAAGTTCCAATATTCACCCTTCAGTAATGAGGTGGTTACATCCCTCCCCAGCTGTTGTCACCATCTCCCTGGGCTACTTCCAGCTGGGTTTCCAGTGTCTTGATTGGCGAATGGAGAGTTAACCATTCTGGTACAGCCAGAGGGCATAGCTCAGTGTACAAGCAATAGGAAACTGCAAGCAAGCAGGTAAATGTGTGCTATTGCATAGCATGCTCACAAATTTTACAAGTTGGGTTTAGTTCTGCTTTAACACAAGAAGAGGATATTTATTTTAGCCATGTGATTATTATTATTTATTTATTTATTTCAGGTACTTATATAGCGCCGTCAATTTACGCAGCGCTTTACATACATACAGTATATATACTGTATATAGTTTTCTAATTTCATTGGTCTCAGTTTAACTAGCTTTTCTCATTGGATGTGTTTGGTAGGTCCAAAGTGTGAACTGTTTAAAACAAGTTCAGGGCTGCAGTAGAGCCTGTTTATTTTTTATCTTCATACTCAGGGCGTTTAGACCAAAATATCTGGGCAGCTGTGGGGCTACCCAATCTCTTTTACCTGACCAGTGAGTGCTGCCCAGCCGGTGGTTCCTGGGCTCTACCAGCCCTCCCAGGGGTTCTAGATAGCCAGGTGTACAGTTGTTCAAGCACAATCATTTGCTTGGTCAGCTGAGAGAAAAGGGCAGGGGAGACATAAGAAGCCTACTAGACCCCTAATTTCTCCATAGAGTACCTGATGCCTGCCCAGTGCTTCCTAGCTCCCTTGTGCTGGCAATAAAGTTAAATGAAAAATAACAAAGTTAAAACCTATAATTATAATAAAATTACCTAACAATGATTAAAAAAAATAAATAAAAGCAGCTTCGTCCCCATCCACAAATGCAAATGCGAAACTGGGTGGGTATATGTATGTAAATAGTGATTGTGCC